AAACTGCAACTATGGTCCTATTTATTTCAAAATCTATCAGCATATTTTTACTTTAAGAAACTTAAGAATGCGTGTAGCACAGGCTGAAATACAGAAGATATTCCCCTTTTCTAAGCTGAAGGGGAAAAGTGAAACAATACTTTAACCTGAAGCTCCAGCCAGGCTTGGCCTGGTTTGTACAATCACAACAGTTCATCTGGTACATCCAAGCCACGTGGTACATAAAAAAATCTGGATACGGACACATTGAGCAAAAGAACAGCCTTCCCCATGGCCTTAACACAGAGATGGCAAAAGGAAGCTGCGAGTGTTCATGCCTCAGGCTTCTCCACATGCCAAGGGGACAGGCAGCACTGCTGCTGTTACGGTGATGCACAGCTACCAGTCTTACCCTTCTGTCTGCCTGTGCAAACAGGCAGGCTTCCAGGCTAGGAATTCCTACAGAGAGAAAGAGAAGCTATTGGAGGGTTCAGATGTTACACAGAAGAGGAAGAAAGCATGCTGGAAGACAGAAAAAATTGAGTTATGAGAGGAAAGAGGTATCAGAAGGAAAACCAGGGTAAAAAGATGATGATGGCTAAAGGTAGCCTGATGTTCATAGCATGAAGTCTCTACAGGACTACCCCATCATTTGACTTGGTCAGCCCTTGACCAGACAACACTGCAATAACGAATTTAAAATGCCTGTCTTGTGCTGGTGCTACAATATGAAACTGCCCTTGTGCACATTCTGAAGACATTTCAGTAAATTATCAGCTGCTCCATATTAAATTTAAAATACCTGATCTTATTTAAGCTGTTCTGGGTCCACAAGGACATTAGTTCTAAGAAAATCAGTCTGTGCTACTGGTAATAAAATAAACTAGGTAGGCAGCCTTCTAAAGAAAACACAAAGGATATTGAGGTGCTGGAATGGGTCCAGAAAAGGGTAATGCAAATGGTGAAGGGCCTGGAGCACAAGTCTCGTGAGAAACAGCTGAGGGAACTGGGGGGTTTTAGTCTGCAGAAGAAAAGGCTTAGTGGAGACCTTACTGCTCTCTACAACTACCTAAAAGGAGGTTGTACTGAGGTGGAGTTGGTCTTTTTCACAATTTACAAGTAGTAGAACAAGAGGAAATAGCCTCAAGCTGCACAAAGGGAGGTTTAGACTAGATATTAGAACAGTTTCTTCCCAAAAGGGTGGTCAGGCATTGGAAAAGGCTGCTCAGGGCAGTGATGAAATCACCATCCCTGGAAGTCTTCAAAAAAACCCATGTAGATGAGGCCCTTATTAACACGGTTTAGTGGTGGCCTTGCCAGTGCTGGGGAAAATGGTTGAATTTGATCTTAAAGGTCTTCTCCAACCCAGTCGATTCTATGATTCTGCAATTACTGGGACCCTACATTTTAGCCAAGGTTACAACTGTTAACAAATAGAGCTCTATAGCTGTCAGAATATTAGAAGTTTCACAGAAGCCAATAAAAGCCTGGAAATGCACACGTAGAGCTGAAAATCCAGGTTGACAAGCATTCTTAACTGCAGGGTCTCCTTAAAATAACAACTCCAAAAGGAACGGGGAGTGCAGAAAGCATGATTTCAAACTTGAGTTTGCGTGCTTTTCCTAGATTTACAGCTGGCCCTAATCTGATCTCAAGCATAGAACTCCTTAAATATTTGAAGAAGCTGTTGCAATTGAATTTACTCTTGGAGAGAATAGGTCCGTGGACATGTTAACTGCAGATATAAGACCCAGTACTTCTCAATTCTAACGCTCACTTTGGCAGTTACTATTCCTTGTAGCTAATTTGACAACATTTCTTGTAAGATTACAAGTGAATTGAGCAATATGAAAGTAACAGCACAGAATGTGATAATTATTATTCTGCTATCTTTTAAGAACATAGTGGAGTGTTAATAGAAGGGAAAATAACAATGCTTTAAAAAACAACTTGTAATTATGCAAATTTCCTGTAGTTAAGGCTTGGCAGATCAGAGAACCTTACAGTGAATGAGGTAAGGAGAGCCATATGTGCCTTTGTAGTTTACTCTCTGCACAAATACTGCATACATGAAAGATATCGGAACTAAAGACCTGTAGAATTAGGAAGATCAGAAGGATGGTGGACATTTGTTTGAGTATGGCTGATTTTAGTCCAGGTCTAGAAGGAAAACTTAGGGTGACTGGATAGTTTGGTTTCAGTGGTCCAGCCTACACCGGCTGTCCTGTTAAGACCAATGGTAAAGACAACAAATAGTGTAAGCTGACGTGGGCAGGAGAAAGGAATAGAAAGCATTATTTTCGTTAGAAAAATCCTATGTTGTTATTCACCTTACTTCTTGGAAAAGAGACTAACTGTTTAAAAAAAATTCTGTTTATCAACCATCAGATTATCTCACTATTTCTTTTATAGAATTAAAAGCTTCAAATACACATAGGTTTGTCCATGATATTATATAAGGAATACAAATAAGTTGATGAGAATTAGTTTTAAAATATTCCCAGGCCCTAAAGATAATGGTTAATAAAAACATTTTTGTTCTTGGAAGAGAGAACCTGAAAACAGAAGCTCTGTGCATTCTTTCATGACACAGAGGTCTGTAGTTGGAAGAACATCTTTAATTTGTCATTGATTATTTTACAAGTTTGCTTAAATAGTAAGTGCCAAAAGGTCAACTATACATAAAACAAAAAGGTCTAAACTTATATTTCCTCAAAGTGCGGTTCAGAATCAGTTTCGACTGCTGTGAGTTATTTAATAGGTATTCTGCACTTGAGATCCCACAAATCCATTATTTTGTCATATTCTGATTAAAATGATGCCAATGTATAAAAAGCAAATTTATTTTAAAAAGCAGCATGCAACATAACATTCAGGTATGCTAAATTTCAGTCTTTTACAGTAACTGTATATATCCCAAATCTAAATATTTTTAAAAATCTGATAATAGAAATTCTACTAGCTGTTGGACATGATTTTTTAAAGCTCATTCTATGAATTCACTTAAAACATCAGATTCCTAAGTTTGAGACTGTGCTAATTACAAGTAGCAAGAGTTAAAAAATTCTCTGACTGCACAAATAATGAATCTAAATTAGTATTATCAGGCCTAAGCAAAGGTTATGAGGTTTTTTTGCTTGTTTTGATTTTGCTGTTTTGTTTATTTTATATATAACCATGTTATAGCACTTTCCTAAATAAGAAAAAAGTCAGTTTGACGGTTTTACTAATGTGTTTCTTCTCTTAGCTAAGCCTCATATTTTTTGTTACTTAGGCAGTTATTCCTTAGTACTTTGTATTCTGCAATAACATAGGTATTAGGGGCTAGAAATAACAAAACAGCAGCATACTGAAGTAAGCTTCCCATCCATACGAATCCAGGCTTTCGAGGTTGGAGAAAGGCCTTTACTGGTGTTAACAAGATTGGACTGCACCAGGACCTGGCTGACAAAGCTCGCAAGCCTTCATCTTGGTAACTGGCAATGAGGAGAGATGCCAGTTGTTACCCACCAGAGCCGGCTGCCTAAGGGTGTGGGTTGAATCCTCTAAGGGATCACAGCGTAACTAGAAATCTTGTCATGGGAACTTAAGTAAACGTGTAAGCTCTTTTTAAATTTAGCTTATGCAGAAAACCTTCAGACTGCTGAAGCTGAGTATACAATTGGCAGGACGATTAGTTTATTAAAATTAATTTGTGCAATAATTAGGAAAAATACTCTGCATTTTCCTGTTAGCATTAGTTATTTGTCTGATTAAAATGTAGGCTAATGTGTTTAAGCTTTCAAACCCATATTTCAGCATGTACAAATACAGAAGTAATACAGAATATCAGGTTTGTGTTTCATAACATCTTTCTTTTTTCTAGGGTGTAATTAACAGTCCTCAGCACAGTATTCAACGTGAGAGCATTATCACTGATTTAGGACCTTAACATGTTACCAATTTTCTCCCTAAATTATTGCTATTCTTTAAATTAGTGTTATATGGAATAGTTTTCCCAGTGAACTATGGGAATCTTTTATTAAATCTGAGTTTAATTAGAAATAAGACTTGAGTGACAGATGAAGATGACTGCCATTACTGAGCTCAAGTCAGAATGGCATAACTTACAGACATGGATACTCCACCCAGGTTTTGGCTTGGGATTTTTTTCCTTAAGAAGTGAGTCCGTTATGTTCCTAAGTTTACCAGTCATGCATTAGACCAACAGACTACTTAGCAGTCACTTGTGTCTTCTAGGAACCACTAGTAAAACCCCAGAAAGCAGCATAAACCCTAAGATATTCTAACATTAGACACTGCTTGAACCATGGCCTAATGTTTCTCTTTTTTGTGTCCTTTTTTTGTAAACTGTGGCATCTGCAACATCTAATGCAATTAAACCTCTAGTTAGGCTACAATTTGCATGTAGCACTGCTGCTTTCCATTTATTTTGACCCTGTTACCTTAATGATTTTTGATACCTTGCAGTTCTTGTATTACGTGAAAGGATGCAGCCATTCCTTCTATCTTCCTCATGTTACTCATGATTTTATAGATGCCTGTTAGCCTGCCAGATATAGTGAACAACTTCAGAAAAATACATCTTGCGTTTACTAAATAGTATGTTGATTCTTTTTCATGTGGCTACAAGATTTTATTTAGGTATTTGAGGCCACTGTTGTTTCTTGGTATGTAATTACTAAGTAACCAATAGAAAAAGTAAGTCATTAGGATCTTGAGCTATTTTACAAACTGATGATGTACCCAATGATTTTTCAGATTGGGTAAGATAAACCCAACTGTTCAAACTCAAGTTGCATGAGACAGAAGAAAATATAATGCAACTGTACTGTTTCTAATAAATATGCAATAGGTAAAGAAAGAAGAGGAAGTTAGGGAGTTTTGGCCTTGTAAACTGAAGACATAATTCAAAATCTGTCCCATTTCACTCTGTAAACTTCTTTCCAACTCTTCAGGTTGCTGATATGCATATACAGACAGACCATGCCATGTGCATTCTCATTGTGAGACTATCTTACCTGACCCATTTTTCAGGTATCCATTTGCATCTACAGTAGTGTACATGATGTAAGGACCAGGCTGATTAACACCGAAAGGCTACAGGGAGAAAGAAAAATAAAACAAAACAAGAAAAAAACCCAGCAGAATAGGCGAAGTTTTAGCAATGGAGAAAGCTATATTAAAGCTATAGTAATAAAATCATAAGCCAAAGAAAAATGATTCTAGATTAATGATTTCCTTTTGATATGGATAATTTCAAAATTTTGGAACCATTTTGGTCAGAGCATTATCTGGAAATTCATTTTCACCCTAAGGCTAATTAGTTGGCTAAGTAATGCTCAGTTTCTCATGAAGAAAGCAATACTATTCAGTCCTCTGGCAAAAGGTTTAATGTTTCTTTGGAAGTTACAACTAAAATGAAAAAAACTAAAAATTCATAGAAATAATTGCATGTTCTGAAAAAGCATAACTCATTTCATACTGCATGAGAGAATGCACTATCCTGATGGTCTTTCTGTACTGAAAAATATTATACAAATTCAAAATTTGTTATTATTTAGCCATTTTTTGTTTACTTCATGCAAGCGGCTGAATAATTACTTATTGAGTACAAATATCTATTTTAAGCAAATCTCTTGAGGGAGAAAATGCACTTAAATATCAAAGTACAGCTACAAGGAAAAAATAAAAAAAATGAAAAAAGAAATCAAAGGGAGTTGTGGATTATGAGTGATAAACTATAACAAACACACCTAAGAAAAAAAGAAGAGGGAACAAACATCTGCTGTGGTCTGGAAGGCAAGGGATGAGGGAGAGTTTTCCTTTTTTTTTTTTTAAATGCTCAATTGAAGCTGATATTAAAGCAGCAAATTCAGAAAAGATCTTTCAAATGAATTACAGAAAGAACACTAAAAGAAGAGATGATAACATGTTTCACACCATGCGTCCAAAAATAGTAAATTCTAAGCCATCAGGATAAGTGATGAGAGACGGCATCAAAGCCTGAAAAATCATGATTAGAATGAAATGTATGGAGACTGCAAAGATGATGTTAATGCATATCTATGAAAGATGGTTAAATAAGGTGAAAAGCAGGTGGTTGGTTGGTAGTTTTGTGTGGGTTTTAAAAAAAATATTATATTTGCACCAAGTTGCTGGTTTTGGCCATGATGGACATTATGTTACTTTCTGTCAGAGAACTTCTATTACAGTGGAGGCAATAGTGTTTCAATGAACTTGATAATGAAACTTTTACCACCATATGTCATTAAGATTTACTTTTCAAACCCACTCTTTAGTTTTGTAATTAAGCTAATAATAGTATCAACCATCCTTACTATTTTATATCAGAAATTAAACCCTGTCTTAAAGTAGGCTTGAAGAAAAAGTAGGTTCATTTGAAGCAGGTTCAGTATTTTCAAGTCAAAACTGAATTTCGTATTTTTGCAGAGCTGTGGAGCTAACACTAGCTTTGATTCCTCTAAGTTCCATTTTTAGGCAACTTTCCCAATGAACTTATTTGAAACTAAACAGTAATGCAAAGGTAGAGTTAAACTTACTGTTATTTTCCGAGGACAGTCATTAGAACAGAGGCCACTGAGAACTGGAAAAACAAAAAGAGAACTTGTAGTGTTTACAAGTTTACAAGCCATCCTACAAGCACTACTTCTGAATCTGTTAAAGTATAGTAATAGGGTCAAGTATCCATCAAAACACACAAAGAATATCTTTATCTGACTTCTGCTAATTTAGGTTAGATACTTGAAGGAAATTCTTCCCTGAAAGGGTGCTGAGGTGCTGGCACAGGTTGCCCAGAGAAGCTATGGCTGCCCCATCCCTGACAGTATTCAAGGCCAGGCTGGACAGGGCTAGGAGCAACCTGATTTAGTGGAAAGTGTCCCTGATTATGGCAGGGAGTTGGAAAAGGATAAACTTTAAGGCCCCTTCCAACCAAAACCATCTGTGATACTATAAAAAAATTCCCAATCTGTTTGAAGCATATTTCTTTGCAGACATGAATCAGCTAATCACTGTTTTATCATATCTCACTGGTTAACCACCTTCAAAAGGAGAGATTTGCCAGTTAAATTCCAGATGAAAACAGTTCTTTAAATAGTGGACTACACATTTTATTCATTCTTCATTTCTAGCTATTTAAAAATACTAGCAGAGATTCAGCTTTACTGTTTTAACTGCTAAAAAGGGAAAGGCTTTTCCTTCTGTAAAAGGGATAGTTTTACAACTTGTTTTAAGGATTCAGAAAACCTGTAACAAACAAATCTTATTACTTATTTATTCTATATCAAACTAAAAACCCATTATCTATTCCTTCTATGAATTCAAAGTATTATAAGCAGATGTGTAAAATGCTACTTAATATCTAAAGCCTATGGCAGTTGTTCAATTACTTTTCTAAAACTTAAATAGTTTCAAAAATCAGTTACATTACAGAAATACTTGATAACAGTTATTTATGATCAAATATATGAGAGACAAGTAAAGCCATCTGTTCTGTAACATAGAACATTGTGTTACATGAGTATTAGAACACCAGTACTAAAATGGCTTTAAAACAAACACCACACACAATAATCTAAGGTGTCACTCTGATCAGCAGCAAAATGGGTATGAGCAGTGACGAGTACGCATACGAGGCAGTACAAAAGCTAAGTGAAAATGTAACCTCTCCATGAATTATGGTATCCAGAAGCAAGTGTGGCAGAGAGGGAAAAAAAGATGTTTGGACCAGATCTGAGGGCAGGTCATCCTAACCAGCAGTAGTTTTCTGAAGCATTTTATGTCTACTATAAGGCACAATGGAATTTTGGGTACAAAATGGGGACAGTGATATACTAAAAGGCGCAGATATTCACAGCGTAATAGTCTGATTAGAAATCATTCCCCACTAGGGTCAGAAATGATAGTGTTCTAGTGAAAAAACATTTCTAATATTTTTGTGCAAATATTAACAAAGAGTCCCAAATTACTATTCTTTGCCTATGATTTAAAAATGCTGAAATCTTCAAATACACAAAAACCTGCTCTGGTCTGGCTGGATATCGGTCAGTGGGTGGTGAGCAGTTGTATTCTCTTCCCTTGTTATTTCCTTTATAATTATTATTATTGGTGGTAGCAGTAGTGCTTTTGTGTTATACCGTAGTTACTGGACTGTTCTTATCTCAACCCATGGGAGTTACATTCTTTTGATTCTCCTCTCCACTCCTCTGGGAGTGGGGGGAAGAAGGGGGGAAGTGAGCGAACAGCTGCATGGTACTGAGTTACCAGCTGTGCTTAAACCATGACAGCTGGAAATACTCTCCCCTGAGTCATAGCAAAAATATTTTTAGACCACTTACTAATTCCCTTTTCCTGTGGTTTCTATGCAAAAATACACCCTAAAAGGGTCCTGAAAAAATGCTTGTTCCAATTTTTGATTTACACAGGCCGAATCAAAAAGTGTGTTGCAAAGTACTCCTTTCCCCATTAAAGTATCACACAGCTAGTTATAATTCTAATATGGCTTTGTGAAGTATGAGATTTTTCTAGAGGATTTTATGCATGCTTGTGTGAATTACACTACCCATACACTGTAATATTTAAAAGAAGGCTTCCATCAATATAACAGATCATTATAGGGTATTACTATGAAAATAAAGCTCAGGCTAAGGAGAAAGTAATAAATGCATCAGCTTCCAGTAGTAGCTGCTGTTCTATTTATCCTATGGCCTGAACAATGTGTGCTTAGAAGGATTAGATGCATTTAAATAACATGAAGGAAAATAGTTTTGAAAGTGAACCTCTACTTGTTCCTACTTAGCTTTGTCCCTGGAAGCTTATGAACAACCTGATTTTTCACTTCTTCTCAAAAAACCAACGAAGACAGACAAGCAATCAGCTCAAAGCTTAACACCTTTGCAACTGAAGAACACAGTGGGGTATGTGATTTGAGAACCTAATTACTCTCAGTTACAAATATCATAATCTAACTCCAGCCTTTTAAACCAAGTCCTTCATTACTTCACACATCCTTGCCATGTTCACTGCCATTCTATGTTTTTACAATGTTTTGTGCCATGTGGTCCTTTAAGGCTGAAACCACCAAACTGATTCACATGTGGAAATAAACTGACTCTCATTAACAGATCACATAGTATAAGCAAAATATACACCAGTCATCACTGGTGCCAGTCATCACTGAAATGAAACCATCCCGTTTAGTACTAGATTCTGCATAATTTCCAGAGGATAGAGAAAAGAACTCCAGTAAAGTAGGCTTGATATGACAGAGGTAAAGCAGTCCCTGCTGGAAAGCAAAGCTGCAACCACTGAAGGCACAAATGAAAATAAGTGCAGTTGGATATAGTTTCTTGCCAGGTTTCTGAAAACAGGCAAGATAAAAATGCAGTCATTGCAGGCAAACAAAGCATGCTCCTTCAAGTGAATATTGCTGCAATTTCTTCCTTTCTGTCTCACTATGCCATACATATAACATGCAAACATAACTGTACTTTTCCTCAAATCATCAATTTATTAAATCTTCCTTCAAATTTTAAATAGCATCAAAAATTAAAAAAAAATTGTATCTACACTGAAGATAGATACGTGCAGATCTAATGCTACTTTTATACTGACATTATGTGAATGTATTGTACAAAAGGTTCATGAAAGGGGCCCCATAAGCTCAGTAGCTCAACCCTTTCACTCAAAACCAATTAAAGACACTATATCATTTATTAATCTAGCTGTCAGGACATCTAATGTTGGTAACTGCAGTTTCTCTAGGAATTTATGTTAGTACTTCGCAAGCTGCCATTGGAAATTACTCTTACTGTTTACTTTTTATAGTCTGTTTCTTTACGTTGTATCCTGCATGGACACACAGGACATTCTTCCCCCATTGTTAGGCATCATTATGGGCTGAAGACATGGACAGTTCTCTTTTAGGCTGAATAACATGGTTCCATGTGCTTTTTCCCTGCAGATCGTATTTTAAGACAGTTAAATTCTTGGTTCCTTCAGAAGCCAGCAGAGAAATGAGTTTTTAAAGACCTAGTATCTGTCTTAAGCATTTTGCTGGGATGCAGAAGAAAAGGTCCAGGGTGAAAAAGAAAGTTTAGCCTACCTCTAGTTACTGAGTGAAATCAGACATCCATACGTGCAAAAAAATCCCACCAAAACCAAAACCATACTGGGGAAATGATAAACACTTATTTAAAGGTTAACACTTATCAGGTCAACACTGATATTAAACACCAGCAAAAGTATCAAAAACAGTGGGCAGAATTACTCTGAATTTTACTAAGTACACTAAAATAAAAACAAGAAAAAAAAAAAAAGGTTGAAATGAAACAAACCAAATTTATCTCACCTCAGATTCTGCAACAAGGCTTCTGCAATCCCTAATATTTTCCACTCTGATTTTAGTTTTCTAGAACTATCAGACAGATAACTACCATAACGCTATCATATACAGAGACTCAGATGATCATATACTTCTCATTTTGACTTGATTATACAGTGATAACTTACCAATAACTTTAACAAAATAGGCATCTGCTTCAAAGTTATTTTTTAACGTATGGATAGCAAAGTCCCTGTTGGAGTAGCCTTTGCTTAGCACAATGATATCCAAAATCCCCTAGGAGAAGAAAAATGTTTACGTTAGAAAGCTGATTTACTCTAGATACCTGAATTTAGCAAAAAATTTCCCTTTGAGATACAAATTAAAAAAGAAAAAAGTGTGTGCAGCAAAGTTGTCAATTTTGCACCTTTGCTATTATTTTAGGGTCTTTCAAATCTCACTAATTTATGGCAATCAAGAACAGAGTGCTCCATCCACATGTAACCAGGACCATGCATGTGGTCTGTGGCTTCTTTCTTGCTGTTGAAGAGGGCAGCCCAAGGAGAGCATATGGAGGGTCAGCAAACTTTAAGGCAGCAACGGGCTGCTGCAAACTGCCCACCTGCCGGGGAGCATCTCAAGAGCCCATTTCCAAATGTTTCTACACAGAAGTCTGCCAGTGGCACAGACAGATACAACAACACAGAGAGATGCCGTCTGCTGTAGAAAAGGGTTGAACTTACATCCTCGTATATGTCGAAGAAGGTTGCTACCACCGCATCCTTGATTTGATTTAGATCCGAGAGCTCCCAAAAAACTTTAAACATGCGATGTACACTCTTGCAGCTTATGTTATTGCATGGGACATTTTCTAGTAAAAATGCCTGTTGATTGCTGTAAAACACATACATATATATGTATACAATAACTTACTTCCTATGAACAGTCTAAATAATAGACATTACCAAAAAATTGTAATTAAGCAGTTTAAGACTCCAGAAGTTAAATATAATAAAAGCAAAGCTAGCAGCCACTGAATACTTTAAAATTCATTAGCATATACATTAACTTTACAGAATTACAACCACTATGTCATGCCTAACTTCCAACCAATGAATACAGTAAATAAATGGGTCCAAATCAGCAGAAATAATTTCATTCACCATCAACTCAAAGGAGTGAACATATGTATACTTTCTTCTGAAATGATTACAAGTGTACTTACCTGCCATCTTCGTTAATCTCTCCATGGTTCTTCAGCTTAAACAATACTTAAAAAGTGTCAGCGCTTTTTCATTATGTTATGACAATCTCTTCCCACCCCAGCTCCATTAATCATCTTACACACTGCATGATGCTTTACACAAATTTAAGACTAAACAAAACCTCTGTTGATATGTTTTCTGTTGTTTCAAAGCAAAATCTAAAACACAAACCCCAACCTACTAGCACAGTAAGAAGAGGACATGATAAACCAAACTGGACATTTGCTGACATATAACAAATAGAGACAGAAAGATAGGCAGTAATACTGAAATGAGAAACAAACCAACCAGAGTATGAGGTCTAGTACAGCAAAATCTCCCTTCCAAAGAATTTATCGAATACATGCCCACTGGTCAGTGGTAGAAATTGAGTTTGTTCATGCATCCCAATGACTAACAGCATTATCCACTGTCTCCAGCACCGTAATATTGCCACTCTCACTGGAATTGTGAAAACCTTCCAACTTCACTAACCAAGAGTCCCACTCTGGTCTGTATCCTGGGAGCCTGCTAGAATCCATCACTGCCTCGGCAATGGGAACATACGAAGTTTGAAGTTTCTGCCTCTCTTTCTGGTGGCAGAGCCACAAGATAAAGAAGACAGTGTTCTGTAAAGTCAGCTAAACATGGCAGAGCCCAGGACAATAACCCAAACCAGTTCTTCATACTGACCTTGAACATACTTCTATTTCATAGTAGAACTTTTTTTTCTGTATCTTAAAGGCACAAAGTGCTTCCAGGATGCAGTGTCACATAGGCACACACACCAGTATTCTCCTTAGGAAAGTTTTACTTTTCTTTACCTTTATGGTATATTTCAGATACTTTGCTACTTGTAAGAATCATATCCTAAAACACTGATTTCTGAAAGAGTTAGAGAAAGGCAAAACACTTTCTCTGAGAAAAAAAGTTTCCGACACTGAAATAAGAGTTCTTTTTGCCTACTGCCAAGTTAATATTTCAGAACCTGCAATGGGAAAAATGTAGGATTTCATTCTCTGTAAGATGTGTTAAAGGTAAATTGGGATATTTAAATATTTCTCTCAAAACCTTGTTATCACATTTCTTAAGCTTCTGTGAAAAATACACAAGTCAGGCTTTTATTTTTCTGCTATATGCTTATTGAAGCTTAATAGGAATAACCCACTTTTTACTACTTCACTGTTAGAAGCAGGAGCATATTGACTAGTGTCTGGACAAAATGAAACGGCAATCTACAGTATTTAAGACATCATATTGTCTCCATCTGAGAGCTCATAATCATAACTTGAAATCATGAAGTGCTCCCATTCACTTCATGTACTGTGCAAATATTGTAACAGATCAACAAACTATAAGATAAAGTGACAACCTGAGCTAAGGAAATTGCTCCAATTTCTCTTTTTCATCATCTTGACATACATTTCATTTTAAAATTTTGAGGAAGTTTTACAAAGATGCTTTCTTTCAATTCAACATTTTTTAAATTCTCAGAAATTACTGTACTTTCAGCTTTCCTCACATCAGTACATATAAACAGTCTTAGTGCTTTAAATGTCTATGTAGTTATTGAGGTGAGCTATGCTCCAAGTTTCCCTGAAGGCTGAATGTATTGTAACCAGTTGTTTTTGTGCACAAACTTAATTTTTTCATGTGCACCGCCAAGTGATTCCCACTTGACTCAATACAAGATAAATAATGAATACTGAAATGAAACATTAATAAATTATTTTAGGTTTTGATTACACAATAATGAACTGTCCTGGGTACAGCTGTAGCAGTTATTTTTCTCCTTAGTAGCTGGTGCAGTGCTGTGTTTTCAGCTTTAGTCTGGAAACAGTACTGATAACACACCCATGTTTTTAGTTGTTGCTCAGTAATGTTTACTCCGATCACAGACTTTCTCATCTCATGCTCTGCCAGGGCAGAGGGGAAGCTGGGAGGAAGCAGACAGGACACCTGACCCAAACTAGACAAAGGGGTATTCCATCCCACAGTGTGTCATGCCTGGTATATAAACTGGGAGGAGTTACCCAGAAGGCCCAGATTGCTGCTCGCGTTGGACTGGATATTGGTTGGTGGGTGGTGAGCAATTGTATTCTCTCCCCTTGTTATTCCCCTTATCATTATTATTGCTGGTGGTAGCAGTAGTAGTTTTGTATTATACCTTAGTTACTGGACTGTTCTTATCTCAAGCTGTGGGAGTTACACTCTTTCCATTCTCCTTCCTGTCATGGTTTAAACCTAGCTAGTAACTCAGAACCATGCAGCGGCTCGCTCACTCTCCCCCACCCCTTTTTCCCTCCGCTCCCAGAGGCACAGGAAGGAGAACAGAGATAAAATACTGGCCACTTTTCTCATTCGGCAATGTCCAAGGCCAGCTGGATGTCTTTCACCTCAGCAAACTGACTCGATTCACCCTCTTTTTCAGCAGTTTCTGCAGCTCCTTGCTGGGGACTCCATACAGCTGCCTTCCATTTCCAATGCTTTCCGACAGGACCCATCAGTAAACAAGGCATACTGCTTTTCACTTTCTGACAGTTTATTATATGATGGGACTTCTTCAGCATGCATCACCTCCTCCTCTGGTGACATTCCAAAATCTTTGCCCTCTGGCCAGTCCATGATGACTTCTAGAATGCCTGGATGACTGGGATTTCCTATTAGAGTGCACTGTGTAATTACTGCAGCCCACTTACTCCATGTAGCATCGGTTGCATGATGTGTAGAGGAGACCCTGCCTTTGAACATCCAGCCCAGCGCGGGCAACCAGGGTGCCAGGAGGAGCTGTGCTTCAGTGCCAATCACTTCCCAAGCAGCTTGACCCCTTCATAGGCTGCCAGTATCTCTTTTTCAGTTCGGGTACAGCTGGCCTCAGATCCTCTGTATCCCTGACTCCAGAAGCTGATGGGTCAAACATGAGTCTTCCCTGGAGCTTTCTGCCAGAGGCTCCAGGTAGGACCATTCTTCCCGGCTGCTATGTAGAGTATATTCTTTACATCTGGCCTGGTCCAAGGGCTACTGCATGAACTATCTCTCATTTAATTTGTTCAAAGGCTTGTTGTTGCTCAGGGCCCCATTTAAAATCATTCTTCTTCTGGGTCACATGATAGAGCTTACAATCAAACTGTAATTTGGGATGTGCATTCTCCAGAACCCCACCACATCTAAGAAAGCTTGTGTTTCTTTCTTATTAGTTGGTGCAGACATTGCTACATCTGTGGGGATGTGGCAATGTCCGTCTTGCCATTTTATTCCCAAAAATTGAACCTCCTGTGCAGGTCCCTTGACCTTATTCCATTTTATGGCAAAACTGGCTTTTAGCAGGATTTGGATTATTTTCCTCCCTTTCTCAAAAACTACTTCTGCTGTATCACCCCACAAGACAATGTCATCAATCTACTGCAGGTGTTCTGGAGCTTGCCGCTGCCCCAGTGCAGTCTGGATCAGTCCATGGCAGATGGTAGGCCTGTGTTTCCACCCCTGGGGGAGTCGGTTCCAAGTGTACTGGATGCCCCTCAAAGTAAAAGCAAACTGTGGCCTGCACTCTGCTGCCAAAGGCATTGAGAAAAACGCACTGGCAATATCAGCTGTGGCATACCACCTGGCTGCCTTCGACTCCAGTTCATACTGAAGTTCTAGCATGTCTGTTATGGAAGCACTCAATAGTGGTGTGACTTCATTCAGGCCACGATAGTCTACTGTTAGTCTCCACTCTCCATTAAGACTTTCACACTGGCCTATTAGTAATAGTCCTAATAATGGGGCTATTAAAGGGTGAGCGGGTCCTGCTGATCACTCCTTGGCTCTTCAGTCTATGGATCAGCCTATGGATGGGAATCAGCAAGTCTCAGTTGGTGTGATATTGCTGCTGGTGCACTGTTGTGGTCACAATTGGCACTTGTTGTTCTTCGACCTTCAGCAACCCCACAACAGAAGGATCCTCTGAGAGACCAGGCAAAGAGGACAGCTGCTCAATTTCCTCTGTCTCCAAAGCAGAATAGCAAAAGCCCATCGGTACCCTTTTGGGTCTTTGAAATACCCTCTCCTGAGGTAGTCTATGCCAAGGATGCATGAAGCCTCTGGACCAGTCACAATGAGGTGCTTTTGCCACTTCCTCCCAGTCAGGCTGATTTCAGCCTCCAGTACAGACAACTCTTGGGATCCTCCTGTCACTCCAGAAATATAAATGGGTTCCACCCCTTGACAGTTTGATGTCATCAGGGTACACTGTGTACCGGTATCTACTAGAACCTTATAGTTCTGTGCGACTGATGTGCCAGGCCATCTGATTTACAGTCCAGTAAACTGGATCGTCCCTTACCTCCAACTGGCTGGAGGCAGGGCCACCTAATAGTGATCACAACATTGGTCACTTACATCTTGTAGACAGGGATTATTCATCTTTATCACAGGAGCTGGAGTAAAATCAGCTCTTCCACTCCATCTGGGAACCTGCTCACCACAGACTGAAGCCGCAGCTTTCATGGGATGTTCATCCTTGACCTTTGTTCTCCTCTCACACACCTGTTCCTCCAGAGCTGAGGTAGGTTTTCCATCCCACTTTCTCATGTCTTCTCTGTGATCCCGCAGGTAAAATGATAGGGTGGCCCATGGCGTGTACCCCGTGTCTTCTCTCTCAAGCAGTAG